CCTTCATCATTCATGGCTGAATTGAGTTTATTTGGGTGGGATTTCAGCATCCGACTTGTTGTGCTTTACCCAGCTGCCCTCTCCACGCCCCCAGCGAGGCATTTGGATCCTCATTAGTGTAATACGCCGCTTGCTAAGGCAAATGTCATAATGAATCCTGACTTAGAAATTTCTCAAGAGTTCATCGAAAGAGAGTTTATCTTTCAGTGGTGACCTTTCTTGTTGAAGGCGGATTAATGTATGAGCAGGATCTGTGTTAACATGGCAGTTTGCAGGAGAAGGCACTTGATAAGCGAGCTCCAGCCAGCTCTGTCCCTGCTCCCAGCAGAGCATTTCGAAGCACCGAGCCTCCTGCCTCTGCGTGAACCTGGGCTGCCAGGTGCACGTCAGGCTCCAGCTCTCGGCTCCTTGGCATAAATCACTTGTTGTCTGAACGTTGCATTGAGAAGCATCTTACACGCATGTTAAATGTGGATAAAGACGGCTCTGCTAAAGGACGCCAAGATGAGTTAGTAATAAAATAGCCTTGCCCGTTGAAGCACTGTCTTGAGGTTATGGATGCATTTTAAAATTCTCTCCATATTTATTTTAGCAGAAAGACTTTCAGTAGATTCTCCTTTGAGGGGACTGAGCTTGGGCAGAGCAGAGGGCGCAGCTCACTGGCTCAGAGCCTTTTCCATAAGAAAATACCACAGCATATTCAAAGTGAAGCAAACACTACATTAAACCTCCTTGTTCCCATCACTGCCACATCTCTTGGCTGCCACCTCTTGATCTCCATAGACGTAGGAAGGAGCTCCTGTGAGCCAGAGAATGGGACATAGTTGGGGCTGAAGAAGATAAAAGTTGGTTAGTTGTGACTTACAGACACATCTAATCTTTTCCACATTTCTCCTGACCTTGATCTATCACAGGGCTTCCTGGTGACACTTGGGATTGTAAATTATGTGCAGAGGAAACCCTTGAGTCAGAGGCACTTGGCCGTGGTCTCAGAGCTGTGAAAACGTCTGGTGCAGGATGGTCTCCTGTGCAACTGGTTGGTAAATTGGACCTGAACCTTTCGGAGCATGTTGGAAATGGGCACTTTGACTACCAGGACTTCCTGAGTGCTGGCAGTCCTTGGAATGGGAGGAGATGGTCCTGCCAGCCCCCAGGCAATGCTGAATCGGTCAGCCAGGTCCTCCTGGCAAATCAAAGTCAGGAGATACTTGGTCAGCTCGGCCAGTACCTCTGCTGGGACCAGGCAACAGGCAACAAAAAAAGCAAAACCACAGTAGTTAACGGTGAAGAGACTGCTGTACGAGCCAGTCCTCCCAGGACCAGGGCTTTGCTCCTGGTCTCCACTGACTGGCATCAAGACATGGTTAGTGGTTCCCTCTCCTGGGACAGCATAATCCCCTGCCGGTTTTTCAGCAACATGCTTCCGAACTTCTGCCCTTAATTATTTCCCGTTCTGACCGCAGGACGTCGGTGGCTGGGGGAAAGTCTCAGATTCCTTCCAGCCTGCAAGGCATTAATCTTAGTGCTCTGTGATTCCTGCAGCTCACGGCAGCCGTGGACAGCTTCTGCTTCCTCCGGTGACTGAGCTGACAGTGGGAACTTTGTCATAAAGATACATGTCTCCAAGGAGTCTTAATTTTTCTTTGAGGACTGAAACAGTATCCAGAGTCTGGAGGATTTTGGGGGTTTTCTTTCTACTTCATTTTAATCTCAGATTATTTCAGGTATTTGTTTCCGGGTATTTCTTACCAGAACGCATCACATTTTGCATGTTGGGAAAGTCATTCAAGGTCCCTTTGCTGTTGTTTCAAAGCGATGGTAACAGTGCCTCTGGCTCCAGGTGAGCTTATGTGCAGCTATTGTAGGAAGACAAATATTTAGCAACTCACCATGGCTGAGTGCATTGTTAAAATACGGCTTTCTGAGGAGTGCTTAGCCTCCTAGTAATTATGAGAGCTTTTCTCTTTCATTTATTGGGTCTGGAGCAAAGTGTCATCTCTGTAAAAGCTTCCAGCCCTTCCTATACAGTTTTCCAGGTTTTTTAGGCGGTGCGGAGCGGTGCCGGGGCATCCCCAGCCTCCGCGCGGCAGTTCCCGGGCGATGGAGTGGTGGGCATGCTTTTGGCATGCCCGGTTTTCCGCAGGCGCTCCTGTGAGCAGTGTGGAGTATTCAACTGATGTTCAGTGGGTAGAAAATTACCTTTTTCTTACCTTACATACCCGCAATCAGAAGGACATTTGAATAACCAGTTGCCAGCTCCTTCTGCATGTATGAAAGCCGGTGTTTCCAGTCTTCTTGGAGATGTAAACGTCAGTGGCCGGGGTGGGATGTTTAGGGGGACAGAGCGTCTCTCCACGGCTCCTCGGTCTCCATTTGCTGTTCTCTTCGCAAGGTTTCAGGACACGGCAAAGCATGTCCCCTTGTCACCCGTGCACGGTTCTGTGGTTGCAGGTTAATGACGCAGAACTCCCTCCAGACGCCACGGTGTCTGTCTGTCTGTCCTGTTAGCCGCGGCATCACCACGGCTCATCAGCACGTGGCATCTGCTGCTCCTCCCCGCAGTGGATGCAGTGATGGGTGGCTCTGGGCATCGTGTGGGCAGTTGCTTGGGGCCGAGGCTAGTCCCTGCTCCTGGCCCTGAGGTGGTGGCGGTGCGATGGGCTTTCCTGGCGCTGCCACGGGGGTTTGCAGGAGCATTTTACTAACAGGATCCCCCTTGCCTTGCTGTGTCCCTCTGCCGTGCTCCTGCCTTTGCTCGGACAGGCCAACTGGGTTTTCTGTGTGACTTGGCAGTAAAACTCGCATCCATTTTATTGAACCAGAAGGAAGAAAAGGGAAAAAAAGTGCTAGCTTATACTAATAAAGGGCTTTTGAACATCTCAGCTGGATATTTTTCTTCATGAGTGAGAAGGCCAAATGTTATCCTGACATTTAATCTTTAATAACAAAAAAAGGCGTTTTGTTTGCCAGTGAATTCCAAAATCTGTTTACTCACTCATGCCTTATTTCTTTTAACTTGCTAGCTCAGATGTCATACTTACTTTCCCCTGCTACCAGTTCAGAGCTGCATTAAATCATTTATTTTGTAAAATTTACTTTCCTGTCACTGCAGAGCCGGCAGCTGCCGGGTTGACTTTTTTTGACTAGTTAATTAACTCATTGGAAAAACGGGGACCCCTTGGGAGGGCGGTGCAGGGGGAAGGGGCCAGGGCAAGAGAGGTGGTGGCCCAGCAGCGAACCCGGGCTGAGCCCACCGCAGCCCACGTAAGGTGCTGCCGAAGCCTTCCCTTGGGCTGCCCTTGTCGGGAGAGCGGGGCTTTCTCCCGGCCTGGTTTCCATCCCCAGTAAAACCCTGCAGTCGGTCAGCGCGGCTCTGACCTGTGGGCTAGCGGCAGAGGGTTATTGCAGGCTATCAAACTTTATAAACCCTTTTTAGTGCTTAATGAAGATACGCGGGAAGTTGCAGCCGGAGGAAAAGGCTGAAGAAATCTTGGTGCAGCCTCGAATGTGGAGGTGGTGGGATCTGCCGCGGGTCGGGTGCCTGGTTGTACTGGTACCTGCAGAGCCCGGCTGGGGCTCCCGGCTGGGTGCCTCCCCGGGAAGGCCGCGGTGTTCGTCACCGCCGCTGGACTTGTCCCGTCCCCAGGCGTGTCTGCAACAGCGTGCTCAGCCTGAGTAAGCGGGAGGCTCAAGGCCAGCCGTTAGCCATTTGCAGTGTGTGTCTCGGCGCTGCCGGTACCTGCACGCGGCGGGGATGCGGTGAGACACTAGTTGGGCATCACGGTGTGGGCAGGCAAGTCTCCGTGTGCTCCCGAAGGACCTTGGAAGTACCACTCAGGTGTAGCTCCAGCTTCCCGCAAGCCATTTCCATCTAGCTCCTCCTAGTCTGCTAACTTTTCTTTTGCATTGAAACCTCTTACTCATAAATTTTACATCCGAGAGCAACTGTGAGAAATGCCAGAAGCCTGATCATCTAACATGCTTTAATGTCTAAATTTATTCTTTAGTACCATTCTTATTTACATTGTTTTTCTGTCTCAAAAAAAATATAAAGGGAGGAAAAAAATAAAATTTTCTTTTACTTCCACGTTAGGAGGTGAGTTGTCATACACCCTCTGGAATTCTTTTTTGCTTTTGATCTTTATTTATTTGTTTAATTTTGGTTGATGTCCCAAGCATGGTTTTGGAGACGAAGGTAGGTCTTCGCTCTCCAAATCAAAAGGAAAAAAAATAAATAAAACAACACTCTCCTTGGTCATATTAAAAAAAAAAATTCCAAACTGTTCCATTCCATACCATTTAAAGAAAAAAAAAAAAATCAACTATTGAACTATTTCTACAGCTTACTGATTTAAAAGGGCGGGTTTTTTTCAAAAGTATCGAATGGATCCAAAAACGATTTTACTAGATGCGATTGAAGTTATTTGCTGTCAACATTTTAATATCAATATTACCACAATGTGTAGTCTCAAACTAGTTCCTTTGTAGTTTGCATGGGATGTGAATGCTGTCTCGGCGTGCCCAGACCTAGAGAACTTGTTACTACTGCATGAGCATCAAGTCAGATGTTGAAAAATATCTATTATATTTTGTGATAATTTGGTGAAAATGAGCACCTCCAGTCTCTGGTTGCAGTAGTGTGTTGAATGATTGTTCTTTTTTTTTTATATATATCCATATCTATATTTTTGGAGCTCTAAGCTTCGTAGTAGTACGGGCTGACTCTTATCCAGTACTTGCTCTCCTATCGCATGGCCTTGGTTAAGTGTTAGAAGTTGGGCCTAGGCTGTTTATTCTGGTGTTTGGCTTTGTAATAACGGTGCATGCCCGGCGTCTGGCCTCATACCCAGCTTTATTCTCTGCACACCAGTCTTGAATAGCTACAGTGCTCAACCGAATTTTGGCGCACCCGCTTCCCCGGCAGGCTCCAACCCAGCCCGACCCGGAGGCTTCCCCGGGGCCAACAGCCCAGGGCCCGTCGCGGACCTCTACGGCACGGCCAGCCAGGACTCCGGCGTGGGTAACTACATAAGCGCCGCCAGCCCGCAGCCGGGCTCCGGCTTCGGCCATGGGATCGCCGTAAGTAACGCGCGCACCGGCGCCAGAGCCACTGCCCCTCGATCTCGGTC